CTGAACTACAAGTCCCTATAAGAGAAGAATAGACAGACTTTTTGGACAAATTAGAAAGAAACTGGAAAACTCCCTGTGGCCTTGAAACCTTGAATTCCTCAATGTATGAGAAAAACAACAACAGCAGAGGAGAGCAGAGTGGCATCTCAGAAGTTATTCTGCAAGTCAGTTCTTCCTGACCATACAGCTCAAAGGCAAGTGAGAAATTTCAGAGGGGGGGAAGCCCTTTCCTCTTAATGCAATCCCACCTTAAATTCCCAGTAGGACACAAACCACATGTTGGTGTTATGGATAAATTCTGAAAAGCATCTGAGGGTAAGTGTTTAATTATGCTTGGCATGCCTACACCTTTTTACTCACAAGAGAGGAAATCCCCCAACTATTAACTGCATTCGACCTCCACACACCAAATGAGAGCCTTCTTGGCTGCTCTCTCCAGGATGCTCGGAGCCGACTTCATTTCTGGGGCAACAGTAGTAGCACCTGAATCCAAAGCCTTATTATGTGGTTCCCGTGGTTAGAGGCCAGGGGGACACCCCCTCCGACACCCTGAATGGCATTAAATAAAAGAATTAAACCTTTTCCAGGCTAAGCTCCACAGTGTCTGCCTGGGAGAGTTCAAGGTGGTTTGGTAAATGGGATAAACTGCTCCAAGCTCACTCCCAGATGTCTTGAAATTCTTATCAGAGGTAACACTGTGGTCTCTGAGTGGCAGAGTGGCTACCCCTGCCTGGGTAGCAATTATGGGCCAGCCTCAGGCGGAAGTGAAGTAGCTAGAGCACACTGTGCCCCAACTTCTTTTTAACACATGCTGCCTGTTATAAATGACTTCATAGTTCATACACTCCTTTAAGGTTTATTAAATATCAAAACAAAAACCCGGAGGAGCTGTGAGATACTCTCTGACTTGCACTCCTTGAGAACCACTGTGCTTGAATTTCTAGCCCTTTTTTAATTAATTTTTTCACCTCATCTCTCTGTTTTCAACATCCACCCATCTATACTATATCCATTTATTCAATCAGCAAATGTTTATTAAACACTTATTGTCCACTAACTGAGTCCTGGGCATTAGAGAGATTAAATAGAATAAATCATGATCCTTGCTCAAGGGGAAGATAAACAGAGACAATTTTATTAGACTATGGCCAGTTCTCTGGTAAGGTGCATGCTGGGTAAGAACCAGGACCCACACTTGTCCCAAAGGTGGTGGAATGCAGTGTTGGGGAAGATTTCCCCAAAAGAATGAAATCTTTGTCCCTCTCTCTGCATCCTATTCAAACCTATTCACTAACCCTTTCATTCAGATGAAGATAAAAATCACAAACGCTCACAACATTCTCAAATCTTAGTTATCAAATAAATTATCTTGATGGTTTAGTCCAATGTTACCCCAATTTACAATACAGAAAATTGAGGTTTGGTCCCCAGCCGCTGGTTCAGGGTCACATAGGTGCTTAGGAGCAGGACAGTGATGAGAGAGAGGTTACACTAAATAACCAACAATTTTTTAAATATTTTATTTATTTTTGAGAGAGAGAGAGAGAGAGATAGCATGAGCAGGGGAGGGTCAGAGAGAGAGGGAGACACAGAATCCGAAGCAGGCTCCAGGCTCTGAACTAGCTGTCAGCACAGAGCCTGATGCGGGGCTCGAACCCACGAACCGTGAGATCATGACCTGAGCTGAAGTCGGACGCTTAACCAACTGAGCCACCCAGGTGCCCCAATAACCAACAATTCTGAGAGACCTCCCTTCCAGCTACCCATCTCTGCATAACAAACAACAGCAGAACAAGAGCAATCATTTATTTCACTGATGAATCTGCCATCTGTCTGGGCCTGGCAAGGACAGCTTGCTCTAATCTGTGAGGCATTTGGCTGGGGTGAGTCTCCAGAGCTAGAGGATCACTTCCAGTGCTGGCTATGGGCTGGCAGCCCAGCATCAGCTCCTCTTCTCCTGGGCCTCTCCATGGCGCTTCTTGAACTTTCTCACAACATGGCAGCTGATTCCAAAAGCAAGTGTTTGAGAGATAGGAAGTGGAAGCTGCCAATTTCCTAAGGCTTGGTTCCAGAAACTGGCACAGCATAGCTTCTGCCATATTCTCTTTCTCCAAAATCCAAGGCAGTAAGGACATTGACCTCATAGTGGGAAGAATGGCAACTAATTTTTGGCCATCTCTAATTCGCTACATCTGCCTAAGTGATTTTGCATTTTGATGGACTTCAAAGACTTCATTTAAAGAAATAAAAACCAAGTGCAAGGACAGCAGGAACAGCTTGCCGGTGGCCTTTGGCACTTATGCTGCAGGCTGCTTCAAGCTCCTTCGGGGCCTTTTCAGGCATCAGCCAGATGATGAAGGCAAACGGGGAAAGACAGAAAAAGATGGGGTTTTCTGGTCAATGAAGTTACCCACGCAACTCCCTTACATATGCATGTAAGGTACCCACACTTTGCTGCTTATTAGAATAACCTGAGACCCTTCAAAAGAATATATAGATTCCCACTGCCACCTCTGATTGATTAAACCACAATTCCCAGAGGTGGCCAGAAAGCTATTTTGAAGAAAGACCCCCCAGGTGATGGGAGGCAGTTCTGTGGTCAGCACCTGTTTGCAAATCCAGACGTTGAGACTGCTCCCAGAATCTCTGGCACTTGGTTGAATGAGGGTCCTGCATATTCTTGTAGATGTTTAATGATGAAATGGAGGTACAACCCTCCAACAATTATGAATTCCACTTTGGCTGTGAAAAATTGTCCTGAGATAAGATAAAGAACCAAGGGAAATGTATGGTTCTTTCTGGTCCAAGAGCTCTGCACTGGGAAATACCAAAACACTGAGGCCAAAATAAAAGCCCAGAGGATGGGGAGGAGAGACCTGGACCACTTTGGGGCTCCAGTATAATTATTTTGAAATTCATTCACGTTGTTGCATGAATACAATAATTCATTCTTTTCTATTGCTGAGCATTGCTCCATCATATGACTAGATAACAATTTGCGAATCCATTCAGCTCTGAGTAGTGTTGGGGAAATAAAGCAATCAGATCCCCCAGAAGACCCCTCCATACCAATAGCAGAAAACACGCTTTATTATTGAGTAATCCTTAACAAATTTATATGCATGTAGCCCAAAAATGACTGCATAGTTTAGGAGAAATCTGACACATTTTATGCAACAAAAGAAAAGGAAAAACAATAATGTCTCTTATCTTCCAAAGACTAAACCACTGCTCATTACCACATTTCCTGTGAGAGAGTCTTGAGCTAATTCCTGAGGTTCCATCTACTTGGCTAGCCCAGAGAAATACCTTTATGTTGCAACACTGGAGATGGGGCTCACTTTCTAGAAACATGTACCTCTACTCCAAGCAGAGCAAGGATTCAGATTCTCTATGTCTCTAAGAAAATATTCTAAAATGAACAGAAAAGGAACACGATCTCTTTGCCCTTTATCTAAAGGAGAAAATAATTTTCATTTTTCCTTACAATAAACATTTGGGTTGTATCCTGTTTGGGCTATTTCAAAAAAAGCTGCCATGAACATTCACTTATGGGATTTATCTTTCTGTTTCTCTTGAGTGAAGACCTATAAATGGAAAGGCTGGGCTGAGTTATAGAGTGGATATATGTTTAACTTAAAGGAAAATACCAATAGGTTTTCCAAAGAGGCTGCACCATTTTACATGGCTGCCAGCAGCCTATGAAAGTTACTCCATATTGTTACCAACATATGACAGGCTCTGTATTCTTAACTGTTGCCAATCCAAAGAGAGGAAGTGGGTATTCTGTTATACATTTCATTTTTCTTTCCCTGATACAAATCATGTTGAACACTGCTTCCTGTGCTTACTAGACACTTGTGTGTCTTCTTTTGGAAGTGTCCAACTCTTTTGCCCACTTTTTCCTTGGGTTGTTTGTAACTGAGCTGTACAAGTTCTCAGTGTATTCTCTATACAAATCCTTTGTTGATATTTCCTCCCAGCCTGAGGCTTGCTCTTTCACATTCCTATGGTATCTTTGGGGGGAAAAATTAACTTTGATGTAATCCAATTAACAAAAAGTACAATTGATCTCAGACTTCTGGCCTCTGGAAGAGTATGGCAGATTTCTGTTGGTTTAGACCACCAGGTTTGTGGTGATTTTTACAGCAGCCTCAGGAAACTGATCCACCCGTTAGGATGGTTTGGGTCTGTCCTTGGCACAAGTGGCATGGGGGTTAGGCTGAAATGTGTGTGGATTTATACACAGAATTAGTGGAGCCTCTGTCTTGGTTTCCCCTTCTGGGATTATCTGTACCCTTTTTTCATCTGCAGGGCCCTCTTTTCTTAGCTCCTCTGGCAACAAAGATGGAGTTTCTATTAAAGGATTCAGCATCCTATGACTGGGACCTGCTCCTGTGTGGCATTATTTCTCCAAGTTTATCTATTCTCCACTGACTGCCTGCTCCTGTTTACTTTTCAAACTGCTAAATAGTTGTTTTTGTGGGTTGTCCAGAGCTTTTGTTGTAATTAGTGAGTGGGAAGGGGCGTGGGGAGCTTGTCTGCACATCTGTCCCATCACCGTCAGCCAAGACCCAGTATCTTGCTGTAGGACATGTGAGACAGCCCACTCAGAACAAATCTTTGCTTTGGTGGCTCAGCTTTGTGGCCATTCTTGAACTTCTTAGCCTGGGAGAGGTGGAAAGCAAGTGTAGAAAATGTCAGTTTCAACTAATATATTTCACGGGTAATTGTAAGGCCTTTGCCGTATATAACAATACCCAGCATGCACAATCTATTCTGTTCACAATTAGCTAATTAAGAAAATAGACAATTCTGGAGTGAGGGGGAACAAGGAACCTTTAATGATGACTCACCCCAGGCAGGGTGCTTGGTGCTCAAGTTAGGCAATGGGGTCCTCCCAAGAGGGGCTTAGAATGGGAAAACAAACAAGTTTGCATGGAGTCCCCTTTGATGAGAAGTGGTTCCAAGGAAACAGTCCAGAAACACAGAAAAGGGAGGCATGCATTTTTATTATGTTTGGGGAAAAAAATCCATAGTGAGGTGACATTGGATCTGAACTGTAAAGATGTTCAGCTTCTAACACATGGAGGATCAGCCAGGTCGTTTCAGGTTGGAAGCACCAGGTAAGTGGGGCATGGAGGTTTGAGGTGCCAGGCATGGTGCCAGAAGGAAGGCAGTCTGGTATGATGAGAGTCCAGGGTGAGACAGGAAGGCCACACAGAGCCACAAAAATGCCTAGCTGCAGAGAAGCTGTGGCAGTAGTTCAACAGAAACTACCTTTGACCTGATGGGGCCAGAGTCACAGCAAGTTACCATGTAAGTCAGGTAAGGGATGTCTTTTCTTTTCATACTGGGATTGGAAATGGCAGGGAGTGAGCCTGGCTTTATTATGACGGAGGAGACAAGAGGTGTACATGGCAGAACTCTGGATCCATGGCTGTCTTTCTCTTTTCTCCTATTTCCCAAGTCTTTCAGCTGGATAAGCTGGGGTAGGGGTTCTGGCATGTGCAATCCATTCTCAGGGGACAAAGTTTCTCTGTGACAAAGAGAAAATGGCATGTGAGGCGCCCAAGTGCCAGCTGATATTTCAAAATAACAGTAAAAAGTGTTCCTGGCAACCATCCAGCATCTGAGTCTGGGCCGACAAATATATCAGGCCCAGGGGAAAGCACCCAGCTATGGCCTCCATGGGCCTTATTCTCAGGCAATCATCTCAGCAAAGGGATGAGGTTGCCAGAATGTCCTCAAATGTAACAACAGCTCATGACATGCTACCACATGTTCTGACAAAAAAAAAAAAAAAGGAAAATTTTCTAAAATGTCTCAGAACTTTAATCTTTTGGTTCCTCCCACCCACCTAAAGAAAGTTATCATTTTGAGTATAATCTTAACTTTGGTGGTTTCCAGCAGGAATGAGCAGTTGGAACCCATGGGAACTATAGGCTTAGGGCCACTGCAATCTGATGTACAAGAAAATTAAAGAGTCAAAGTTATGAACCATTGTTTCTAGCAGCTGTTGATATATATACTACTTGTAACCCACTTCAGTAAACAACAATATAACAAGAGAGCCTCCAGGGATACAGATGTACAATTAAAATTGAAATTGGATATTGGGGCACTTGGGTGGCTCAGTCAGTTAAGTGTCTGACTTCAACTCAGGTTGTGATCTCACGGTTTGTGAGTTCAAGCTCCACATCGGGCTCTGTGCTTACAGCTCAGAACCTAGAGACTACTTCAGATTCTCTGTTTCCCTCTCTCTCTCTGCCCTTCCCCTGCTTGCACTTTGTCTCTCAAAAAAAAATTTTTTTTAATTGAAATTAGGCACTTTGGAGGACCAATTTTGATGTTATCTGTAGAAGTCGACTTTTTTTTTATATATATTTTTATTTATTTCTAGAAGAGAGAGAGAGAGCGCAAGCAGGAAGGGTCAGAGAGAGAGGGAGACACAGACTCTGAAACAGGCTCCAGGCTCTGAGCTGGCAGTCAGCACAGAGCCCAACGCGGGGCTCAAACCCACGAACTGCAAGATCATGACCTAAGCGAAAGTCGGAGGCTTAACCGACTAAGCCACCCAGGCGCCCCTGTAGAAGTCGACTTCTACAGTAGAAGTTGGATGGCAAATTCCCAAGATTATCATCTACTGGCATAGTTGGTTCAAGTAAAGTTTCATCCTAAAAAAGAAAGTTAGTGTTGTCATTCCTGGACTCCTGGTAGGGACTGACTGTGTCCCCCACCCCCTCAAAATTCATATGCCAAAACCCTACTCCTTGATAGCATGGATTTGGAAAGCGACTCGGGACTAGATGAGCTCAGAAGGTAGAGCACTCATGATAGGATTAGTGCCCTTGGAAGGGTCACAGGACAGGGGGCTTTCTGTCTCTGCTCTCACCCTGTGAGGAGAAAATGAGAAGTCAGCGTCTGCAGCCTGGAAGGGGGTCCTCACCAGAATCTGATCAGGCCGGCACCCTGATGTCAGACTTCCAGTCTCCAGGACTGTGAGAATAAATGTCTGCTGTTTATAAGCTGCCCAGTCTGTGACAGTTTCCTATAGCAGCCTGAGCTGGGGCATCTTTTATAGGGTCCTTGGGGACCCAAAACATCTTCCACAGTAACAGCCTCTGCAAGTGCTTCTTCCTCTTCTTTTCTACCCACAAATAACCCCACCCCCAGGTCTGTCTCTGCCTTGGGGTCCAGTGACACCTGCAGCAGCCGGGATTCCACCTTACCTATTCCACTGCCACACTTTCCTACCTGCTCCCCTCCTGGCCTGACCCCTCCTCCACCACACACATGCCTAGTCCTCAAGGGAAAGGTGGCATTGCATCATCCATCTGCCCCATAGAGGCCTGACCTCCAGTGCCTGGTTTCCATTCCTCCCCTGCCACCAACTGTCTCGAGTTCTGACTCTGTGTGGAAGATGCACAAGAGGATGAGATCATGGCCCTGTCCTTAAAGACCTCATGGTCAGATGACAAGAAAGCCATCACAGCTCCTGTGAATTCAACCACTTCTGTGAATCAGGGATGGAAGAACAAATCCATTCGTGCTGTCTGGAAAAGTGGTGGGAGCCAGGAGGCATGGGAGGGTGAGCTGTGCACTGCATTCTGTACAATAAATAGTATCTTACCAGGTAAGAAGGGCCCCAAGAGAGGAAGCAGCCATGGGCAAAGCTCAGAGAAAGTCCACATCCTGGAAATGGTAAACAACTGGGTCCAAGAGATGATGTACATAAGGTATGAGTAATGGAGGATGGCTAGAAAGGCCAGCTGAGCCTAGATCCTGCCATAGTGAGGTGCTTGATCTTTATCCTGTGGGCAGTGGGGAGTCATAGAGGCCTTGTAAACAGGGAGGTGATAGACCTGGTGACAGTGTGGACTGAAGAAGAGAAGGATTGGGAAGAGGAAAGACAGCTGGAGCTTCCTTCTTCTCTTTCCTTCCTCATTCCTAAACTGCATCCAGACAAACAGCTCTTTCTAATCTCCCCCTCTCTATCCCTGAAGCTACACCCCAATACTTTGACGACAGCCCCCTTCAAAGTTGCTGTCCCCATACACTTCAATTAACTCCCTAAAACACTACCACATTCATCCCCCATCTGGAAGCTTCTGGAACCCAATTCCACAACAACTTACCCCTGTTGTCTCCATCTATAAAGCCAAGGGGTAACTGGGATGGCCATCTTAACACAGAGGGTCAGAGGCCTGTGGCATGTCCAGGAAACAGAGATGAACTGATGAGAAGCCAGGGAGCCCAGGTCAGAGTAGGTGACCTGCATGGCAAAGTCAAGAACTTCCTCTGAGCTGGCAAATTGTTCTGAGGCCAAGCACTCCGACCCAGGTTCTTCCTGAGACGTGTTATTCGGGCATCACAACCTGAAGATGGAGGCTCTATTGGCCCTATGTTACAGACCAGGCAGCTGAAACACAGAGTGCAGTACTCTCAGACCACATCCCCATCAGTGAAGGATCTGGGACCCAGCTGTCCCAAAGCCAGATCTTCATGCTGACAGGCATCCACTTCTCCAGCATCAAACAAGCACATGTCTCCTTCTTTTTGCCAGTTCACATCAACTGGGAGTAATTATGGCCTAGGATTGCATGGCCACACTCTCTCACCTGGATTCAGCTTCAGAGTCATGGGGTAATAGAATTTTGCAGCAACAAGGAATCCAGCTCTCTCATTTATTGTAAAGTTCAGTGACTTGCCAGAGTTGCATGCTAGTGAGAGTCAGGGCAACAAAATTCGAGGATCCCGCTTCATTCCAAGCTCAAGACTTTCTGGGGATCATCTCCCCTAGCCTGTGACATTGCATTTCTTTTCCCTCTTTTTCTAAAGTAGTCTCTTTAGTTTCTTTTGGTGTTTGGAAAATAAGCTTTATAAGTCAACACCACCTCTATCTCCTGAAAAATGATGTTTTACTGGTCTATTTCTGAAACCTCATATGATTTCCACTGACCATCTTCTAACTATCAAGTTTACACCTGAAATTTTCAATAGTCCCAAGACTTTTCATGGCGGTTTATAACATACCTTCTACATTAGTATTTTTAATTGAATTAGACTTTAGCTGTAACATGTGTTTGATGAAAATGATTATAAAAGCTTGTTCTATGTCAAAAAATGAAACCTCTCACTTTTTATGTATGCAAAATTACAGGAAAATGTCTTAGAGCTTAAACAATGCCTAATGACATGTATGATGGAAAATCACAAAGCAGGAAAGCTATACTAAATTAATATTAAAAATGATCTAGATTTTGTAGAGCCATCAAAAATTGTTTCATTGTATCTCAGATTTTGAAAGATTCCACTTCAGTACAAGGCAATTGATTCTATTGAATATATAGCTCTTAACTGAATTAACAAGTGCTGATAACCACTAATCTAGTTATCTTGGAAAGAAAATCAGAAAGACATCCATAGCTTTACATACATGTAAAGAGTGCACAGAATTTTCTAGACCCAACCTTAGCTCAAGGTTTCTGAGATTATGTTAATTCTTATTTTAAGTTTTTTCTACAGCTACTTTTTTTAAAGTTTATTTACTTATTTTTGAAAGAGAGAGGGACAGAGAGAGAGAGAGAGAGAGAGAGAGAGAGAGAATGAGCAGAGGAGAAGCATAGAGAGGGGGACAGAGGATCTAAAGTGGGCTCTGCTCTAACAGCAGACATCCCAATGAGGGGATTGAACTCACAAACCATGAGATCATGACCTGAGCTGAAGTCAGAAGCTTAACTACCTGAGCCACCCAGGCACCCCCACAGCTACTTTTTTGAGAAGGAGGAGAGATGACATTTGTTATTAATCAAGACTGTTTTTATCTCCTTCCTTGAGATGGTGTCATTTTTCTGTTACTTCCCTTGTATTGAGGGCCAATTTCAGTTGAAGAAACTCTACATGTATCCACACTGTTTTTTCTCCAACATCCTTGTATTACAATGATTATTTTGCTAGAAATCACCTGCCTTAGATTCAATTAATAGGAGTTAGAAATAGGAAGTAAATAGTAAGACTTAAAACCCTCCAGCAGAAAAACGGAAGAACCAAATAGCTTCATCCCTCTAAAGACGATTATATAACATTTATTTCATGCTTTGTAAGTGGCTGTAGAGCTAATGTGTGTTTCCTGATAGGTGATAGGTGGGGTTGGCTGCTATATTTGAGAATTTGAAGTGTAGTTTTACTTCAGAGCAAACATACACACAAAATAACTCAGTTCAGTACCTTTCTTGGCTTTACCAGTCATCCTTTGATAAAGGTCACATAGTCTTTCATGATTTCTGAATGACTACTGAGCATATAGAAACTGATAAAGTTCAATTATCATTGTAATGAACAACAAGAAAATATATCCATTACTGTAGAATTCCTGGGGTATATGTGAAAATAGCCCATAGAAACCTTTGATGAATTATTATCCATTGCAATAAGATTTTACCTGTATGAATACTCTACAGTACTCTAAAAAAAATCACTGGCCGGTTAAAATCTTCAAAACCCTTCACCGAAACATAAAAAGAGAACTCTCAGTTC